AGGCGGGAGGGGGGCGGGGGAGGGAACGTGCCCACGTGACCTTCTCTACAGAGCAGGCGAGGACCCAGGAGGCCTCCCTGCCCGGCTTCCTCAGCGCCCACCCCCGAGGCCCAGGGGCTCTGGGAGGAAGGGGCACCTGGCACTCGAGGGGGCTCAGGCCTGCCTCCCTGGGCTCCCACGAGTCACACCCGGGCCCCTACCCTGGGTTTGGTCACACAGGCTCCCCGCCTCCCCCACAACTGCCTGTCACCCCCTGATGCTGCCAGGTGTGGGGAACCACAGGCACCCTGTCCCTGGCCTGGGCGGGGGCCGGCAGGTGTGTGTGCCCGAGAGCTACGGGGGCAAACAGCCAGGGCAGCACCGGCGGGCGACCCACTGTGGGGCGCCGGGCTGGGCGCAAGGCTGGCGGTGGCCTCGCCCCGGACGCAGAGGGAGGGAGGGGGGCTCTCCCGTGTCCACCCTGTGGCCTGGGCCCCGCCCGACTGCCCGGGGAGGACCAGCCCCCCTGGCAGCGCCACGCTGTCAGCCGCTCAGCTCGGGAGAGGCCGATGCCCATGGGCCGCACAGCACCAGGGACAGCTCCCAGGGCTCCTCCCTGGGGCGGGGCGACCACGGGCACCCCTCTCCCCTCTCACGGTGCGGCCGCCAACACCAAGCGTCCTGCGTTTTCCCAGGACCTCGGGCTGGGAGTCCAGACCCCACAAGCACCACGGGGGCCCCATCCCACCTGGGCTTCAAGGGGGCCCGTGTACGGACTTGGGCTCAGGGGGGAGCTGCCCGAGTCCCGTCCTCGCCCCTCCCTGTCCGCCTGCCTGCTGCTGCCTGGGAAGCGGGACCCAGGCTTCTAAGGGTGGGCAGCGGGCTGGGGGTGGTCCCCCACTGCATCGGAGCGTGGGGAAGGGACCCCGACTGCGTGGACAGCGGGGCTCCGGCCGGGGCTGGCCTCACCCCCGCCCCTCCCGTCCAGTACTCCCCGCTGCTGAAGAAGCTGTACTGCCAGATCGCCAAGACGTGCCCCATCCAGATCAAGGTGTCCACACCGCCGCCCCCGGGCACCGCCATCCGCGCCATGCCCGTCTACAAGAAGGCGGAGCACGTGACCGAGGTGGTGAAGCGCTGCCCCAACCACGAGCTCGGGCGGGACTTCAACGAAGGTGAGGCCCCCAGCGCCCGCCCGGAGCCCCCGAGCCAGCGGGGCTGCGGGCGGGCGGCAGTGGGCTCGGCATCCCCCCGTTTCCTCCCAGCGCCTCAGGCCCAGGTGCTGCGCAGAGTGGGGCAGGGCTGCGGGCCTGGCACCCCAAGGGCACCAGGCTGCCCGCCTGAGTCCCACCTGCCGGGCCCAGGGAACCAGGCCTCGGGCTCCTGAGTCTGCGGGTACACCTGGCACCAGGGTGGCCAGACCCACTGGGCACCCCTCTGAGGCAGTGTCCCCTCCTGGCAGGACAGTCTGCCCCGGCCAGCCACCTCATCCGCGTGGAGGGCAACAACCTCTCGCAGTACGTGGACGACCCCGTCACCGGCAGGCAGAGTGTCATGGTGCCCTACGAGCCCCCACAGGTAGGCCGGGCCAGGTGGGCCAGGGCCCCACGGTCAGTGGCAGGGCGAGGCCCCGGCAGAGACTCTCATGCCACCTCAGCCAGCAGACGCGTTTGTCCCGTGCCCGCAAGTTAAGCCTATGCTTTGGAGCTCCTTCCTCGCCCTCCAGCCCCGGCCCGCCTCCACCTTGCTTTGGGCCCTCTCTGGGCACTAGTTCCCCATCTACTGGGGGGCAGGGGGAGGCTAACACCCTCTGAGCTCAGCCCTCGTCTGTCCCCTCTTCCCCCCTGTCTGTCCCCACACACAGGACTCGAGGGCGGAGGGGCTGAGCCCAGAGGATGGGGGGGGAGTGGGAGGGCAAGGGGGGAAGG